AGGAGGGCTCTTCCTCCCTCCCCCCCTTTCTTAATTTGTGCAGATTCTGCTCATTCGGCCTTTCCTCTTGTGCTTTGTTGCAGTGTCACTTCTTGAGAAATGCTCGCTCCTATAGGAAGAAGAGAAATTTTGCTGGAATGGTGTTCAAGGTGACTTTGTGAACCCAAATGTCATTTCTGGCAACAACACAGAAGGAAGTTCCCTCCCTCCCCACTCCAAAAAAGTTTCCCGGATGCTTTTCAGTTCCCCAGGGTTAACTATAGCCCTGGGGGTTTGCTGGTGGTCCCCCACCCAAGGACTCAATAACTTTGATCCATGTCCTGCCACCAAGTTGAGCGTAAGGCAAAGTAGCTCTCACACTGAGCTGGTGACTTCATGGGCACCTCCAGGCAGTTTTCTTCTGGGGTCTTTTTTCTCTGGATCTCCTGATGGTCACCTATCCAAGCATTCACCAAGTTGAACTCTGCTTAACTGTTCCAGATCCACTGAGATTGACTAGGTAGATGAAGGAGAGAGAGGAAGAGTTGTCTATCTGGTCAGCCCCTTGAAACCTGCCCACCTTTCATCCCTGCTCCTGGGCCCCCCAGAGGCAGAGCCCCCTCCTCGGTTGGCTAACGTGGCTTCCCTGCCTCAACAGGGACGAGTATGGCGGTGGACCGATGTCTCCACAACCAACTACGCAACCTGGGAACACGGAGAGCCCAACAACGTTCTGCACAACGAGGACTGCGCTGAGTTGTGGTCCCGGTCAGGTAAGCCAAGGTGGTGGGGAGGCGGCTGAGGGTGGGCTTCCAGCCATGACGACAGTTTTCCTGAACGCCAGCCAGACCTCCAGGAAGGCAGGGGGTCCCGGGGAAGAGCGGCTTGCTCCTGGCCTCAAGACCCCCAACCCTGCAAGTGGAGCACCCCCACTTTGAGCGCCACCCCGGCCTCGCTGAGGCAATGCGAAGCCTGTCCTCCTGCCAGATCAGCAGACGACGAGGAGGACGAGGAGGGTTTAACAGGCAGCCAGACAAAGGACATTGGTCATCTGTCCAGCCCTGCTCTGGGTTGGCACAAGCGCTTTGCAAGTTCTCTGCTGCCCTCCTGTGGCTGAGCAGAGCCTGCCAGGCAAGGTCTGGTAGCCGTGGCCTCCCTTGACGGTTACCCGGTTTTCTGGGTGGCAACCCCCCGCTGACGGCCAAGCCCATTCTAGTTAACTGCGTTCTCCGCCTGCGGTTGCCACGGCCTGGCATCCTCACGTCCCCCTGCCAACGAGGCCAGAGCCAGGGAAATGCCTCTTTGGGACTCTGATGGAGCCACTGCGAAAGGGACCAAACCTTCTCTTTGCTGCCCAGGGTACCTCTACTGGAACGACAACAACTGCAATTCGCTGACTGCTTTCCTCTGCCAGTACCCGCTCCAGCCCTAGAGCGAGGGGAAGCACCTGGGGAAGCAAGGAAACCCCCCGCCTGCCAAAATCTCTGCTCTACGCCCCACACTCGAGGAATGTTTTTGGTAGCTCGGGCGAGATGTGGCTGATTCGGTTGGCCCAGAAGGCAGAATAAATTCTGTCTTGGCACGAGTAGCCTGATTTATTCTGCAGAGCCAGGAGCCTGTGGCGGTCAGAAGCGTAAGACCCCTGAGTCTTCTGCCTGGGAAGGCGTGGCGTTAAGCGGGTGGGGGGGCTTGTTCAGAAGGACCAC